CCGCCGCGCGCGCCTGGCGGGCAGCCGCCGCTGCAGCGGCGTGCGCGCGGCCCTCGCCTGTCGGTGGTCGGCTCCGGCCCTATGTGCGCCCCGGGGTAGTCGCGGCCCAGCAGGAACTGCGGGGTCAGGCAGAATGAGGGGTTTGTGAGGACGAATACCTAAGAGAAAGAGGAGGCACCCAGCTCAGTCTGAGTTGACATGTCATGGGCAACACCCGTGCTCACACACACTTGATCTCTCTCACACAGCAATAGGGCATGCGGACAGACAACAATACACGGACACAGCACACAGCAAACACGCATACACAACTTTGCACAAAAATGCACCAAAATATTGGATGAAGGATTTATGAGTACTGTACATAATCACATTTACAAACGACAAATGCAACAACACACTCACTGCGCCCCAGACCCCCACCTTGATGAACGTGGTCTTGCCGGTGCTGTACTGCCCCACCAGCAGCACAGACGGCTTCGCCTCAAAATCGCTCTCGTGCAGCAGGCTGCTGAAAAAGCTGCTGAACTTGAACGCCTCCTCCAAGGGTCGAACCTGCGCCGCGCAAAGCACGGGGCGACACGGGCGCGGCAGGAAGCGACAGGGGTCACAGGTCGGAATTGGTACAGCAGCACCCTGTGGGGGTTGCTTGGAGAACCGCACGTCCCGACAAGGCCCTGCGCCGCTTTTCCTGTATTTATATATATCCAAGCACTTGGCTGTACTAAATCAGGCGATTTGCATTTGTTAAGGTCCCTGGGCAGCGCGGGGCAGGTTTGCCGCCTCTGCCAATACAAAGAGCGTGCAGCAACACCACTGCAGCCCAGCCACTTTGTGCGGCCTGCCGGGCGCTGCGGCGCTGCGGGCGCTGCCACGCGGCGCCGCGTGCCTGGCGCTGCCACGTGCAATCGTGCACCCACGAATCCCCTTGTGCCGCGCGGGGCTGCATGAAACACATCCCCCACACCTTGTTGAAGTATATGCTCTTCAGGCCATCAACCACCGACGTCACCACGCGCCCGGGGATCTTCTTGGAAGCGCCCCCGGCCCCGCCCCGCCGCGGCGCCTGTCGAGTCTCAACCGGATCCGGGGGCCCCGGCGCCGACTGCGCGCGCCGAAGGCAAGGACAAAGATGAAGGTAATGCACCGTTGACACGACTTGGCGCTGTGCAGTGTGCGTTGCGGACGACGCTCCGGCGTCAAGTGCGGGCGCGCCCGTCCCCGCTGCACGGCCAGGCGCCACACGCATACATCAACTGTTGTGCCATATGGGCACGGCGCACCCTCCGCGGCGACGGCATCGGCGACGGGCCCGCGCCGCCACCGCTCCCGAGCGCGCTCCCGCCGCCGCCGTTTGCGCCGGCGAACGCCTCGGGGGGCGCGTCGAGGCCGGCCATTTGGGGCAGGGGGATGCCCTCGTTCATGGCATTCAGGTAGCTCTCTTTGGAGACCTGGTTGCCCTGGGGATGTCAAGTAATACAACAGGAAGGTGTGGGCAAAGATCAGGGGGTTGAGCGGGATTTTTATTCGAGAATCAAACTGATTGTGAATGTAACAGTGAAGGGGGATGCATGGAGGATGGGAGTGCTTGTAATCTTTGTTTTGCGAAGTCAGAAGGGAGAGGGGAGAGGGAAATGGGGTGGGAGGGTACGTAATGCGCAGCGAGTGGAGGAGAACAAAGTGCAATGGGCGAAGAACCAGGATTGAAAGGCTCTGCATGGGCGCGCATACGCGCACGCACACGTGTGCGTGCACACACACACACACACACACACACACACACACACAAACACACACAAACACACACACACACACACACACACACACACACACACAAAGCCACACGCACGAGTCCGTACGCACTTTCTTGCTTGGCGGGGCACGAACGCATGCCCTCCCACCAACCCCCACCCACCCACGCCTGCTGCTGACCTGCTGCGCTATCGAGATGAGATCCATGGCTTTGTGGAACGCCAGTCTGTCCAAGAACCCGGCCCTGCGAGATGTGAATACGTCGCAGAAGTGACGGCCGGCGCGGCTGCTGACACAACATGACATCATCAGCACCAGGCCGGGTGCCCTCAGGTGCTGTTAGCACACGCGACACGGGGCTGCGAGCAGCCCCGCGGCACCGCGTGGGGGCGCGCAGCGTGGTGCGGGGCAAGCGGCGAGCTGGCCATAGCCGCTGGCTGGCTGAGCGGCGCCTGCCGCGAAAGGCAGGCGCCAGCTGTGCTCAAACGTTTGATAGAAACTTGAGCGACAGGGATCGAGGCGGCCCCCACCTGGACGAGTTGGCCAGGTCCCACACTCGAGCCAGGACCTCCTTAGGCAGCCCAGATCGCTGGAAAAACCTGGAGTGGGAGTTTGGGGGGGGGGGGGGCGGCAGGGTCTGAAGAGCCCTGGCGATTACGAGGGGCAGATAGGGTGGATGGCGCGGCCCCGCAATAGCCGACTGCCCGGCGCCGCGCCCCTCGCTGCTCGGCATCCGTGCGTCTCGGCTGGCATTGATATTCCCGAATTGTGGCGGTGTAAGGGGGGAAGTGCTGGATACGGAGATGACAGACGAAACTTGCACATATTCACAAGGGTTTCGGGTGATTGTTTGGCTGCCTAGTCGATGGGAGCCGCTTCCTGGCCTGCCAGCAGCCCCAACAGCTTCTCGGCATGGGCTATGGTGAAAACGGGAACATGCAGAACAGTTCAGTGCAACATGACGAGGCGATGCAGCAGCCTGTTTGGATATAACGCAGCCACTCACACGACGGCATCCGACCCGGTGACACGCCCGTCCATGTCGGCATCTGCCACCTTGAACCACCTGCGTCCGGTTCGTGCAGCGGCGGCCGGGCGATTTCCCTCTGCACCTCCCCTCCGGGGGGCAAGCAACTCCTGCTGCATGCTTATCACACCGCTGCGCCGCTGCAATGCGGGCATGCTCAGCTCCTCCTGCCGCCGCGACGACCTCGGTTCTGTGAGGCATGATAGTGTGATAAGATTCGGCAGTGCTCCCCACTCGCTCGCCTGTCATATGTAGCCGCGTTAGCTATCGCGCCCATTGTCGCCTCGCGCCTCCTGTATAGCCCAAGCCGCTGCCGGCGCTGTGATCCTGCAGCTCTTGCCCTCGCGGCGGCCCGCTCAATGCGCCGCGTAGCGCGGGTTCTAGGTCTTCTTGGCGGGCGCGGCCGCGGGCGCTGCGGTTGACCTGAGGCACGCGCCCCAACAGAGGCAGCAGCAGCGCCGTGAGCTGGCAGCGCGTCATCAACAAGGGGAAGCAGGGCAGAACCCCGTCGGAGCACAGACGGCGATGTCCAGAGATACCAATTGCCAAACATACGATCGCAAGGCCTATCATACGATACTCACGACGCTGGTGGCTCCTCGGATTGCGCGGCCTTGGCTGCCTCCAGCCTGTTCTGCAGCTCTGTCTCCGAAGCTGCTACCTTGCTCTTTTCGCTAAAAATTTGGATGTACGCAAACGTGACGTTCCCAGCCAGCACAGCCAGCAACACCTTTTCCAGCTTCCCACTGCTAGATCTGTCGAGCCTGGGTGGCATTGAGAGTGCTACAATCCACTCCCGAGGTTGGTGGGTGCCGTTCGTTTGTGGTTGACGGGCTGCCAACACATCATTTTGGGCGTGCGTTGATGCAGTTGCAGTCACCTCGTCATTTGTCAGCGCTTCGAACCACCATAAGGGCAACTAGAAAAGATGTGCATCGATATAAATCGTCTGGTCCTGCTTTCGTGACTATTCACTACTTTCCGTACTGTCGGAGCCTGTCGTGTGATCAGACTCGACGTCAGCTGCACCAAACCATGCGTAGCGGGTTATTTACATTGACAAGTGACAATTCCCAGGCTGGATCTCTTGTTTGTGGTACGAATCCCGCCCATTCGGCCCAGCGGCGCAGATGCGCGCGGCTGGCGCCGCGGCCCCTTGCGACCAGCACACCCGACGCACGCCCGCCTGGCGACAGAGGCGCGGTCCTGATCCTGCCCGGTTTTATATCCCCTTGGCGAGAATACAATGGCCTCACTGAGAACCTGCAGCGCAGGGGCTTTGCAGCCGGTAAGTGGCAGCGGCTGCGCAGCTTCGTGTTGCATGGCCGCCGGTGCACGACCCATCAGTCAGGCCATCCATCAGACCCTGCTGATCTCACCCGCACCCCCGCTCATCCTCACTTCACATGACATGGCCGCGGATGACGGGGTGGAAAGCGCAGATGCTGCCATGACGGAGCGCGGTCGCTCACTGGTCTGCCCCCCTCCTCAAGCTGCCCTTGTGTCACACAAACCCAGCAAGACGCCCCCCCCCCAATTTTGCGACCAGAGGTCGTGCGGGTCCCCTTCCGCGAGTGGCTGCCCGTCATGCGCGGCGGCGATTACGCTTTTTACCTCGGCCGCGCCGACGCGGCGGTGCGGCGGCTGCACGCGCACCACGGCCGCCTGGGGCTCGTCGGCCACTCGGCAGGCGGCTGGCTGGCGCGCCTGCTGCTCGGGCCCGTCCCTTACCAAGGTGCCCGCTGCTCGCACATAGGGCACGCCTGGACATATAACCCTGCCACAGTCTGGCGGGTCGCTCACAAGAGCTCGCGCTGGCATGCAGTCCCGCGCCTGGTGGGAGGGATGTTTTGCGAACCAGTCGGTGGTAGCGAGTTCGGACTCTCCTGCGCCTACCTCACCCGCCGCCCTCCGCAGCACCCGTGCCTCCAGCGCGCGGTGCAGCAACACATCCACCCTGCATGCCCCCGGCATGCCCCTCAGGCAGGACGTACAACTGTGGTCCCATGGTGCACACATTGGTGACGCTGGGGGCGCCCCACCAGAGCCTGGAGCTGTACCCCACGGGGCGGCCACACGTGAGTGGCGCAGCATTTGCCGCCAGGTCGCCTGCCTAGGGCATCTGCACCCGGGCCGTTCCACCACTCTCCATGCCGCTTGCGGCACCGCTTTCCCATCAGCGTGGGCAGGCTGGGGTCGCCTGTTGCTGGCTGCCACTGTCTAACAAGTGAAATAGAGGCAGGGATTGCACCTGCGCCTGCTGCGCCAGTGGGCGCAAGGCCAGGCCTCTCAACTTGCTTCTGTGCTGCTGATGTTTGCCCTTGGATATCCTGGGCCTGCAATCGCAGGAGAGGCTTTTTGGCCCCGCTCTTGACGGCGCGCCGCCAGAGGTGCGCACCAGCAGCCTCAAGTTTGCAAATTACGTCTACCCCCGGGGCGACTGCTACCCCGGCGTCCGCGTGGTGTGCCTGGCTGGAGAATGCGTGCGCGGCCGCTCGCTGTGGTCGCTCAAGAGGTCAGCGGACACGTGCGGCAGCGGCGGCGGAAAAGGCAGCAGCGGCACCGGCGGCGGCGGAAAAGGCAGCAGCGGCAGCGACGGCGGCGGCGACGGCGGCGGCGGTGGCGGCGGCGGCGGCAGCGGGGGAACCATCCTGACCATCAACACCAGCGGCACTAGCGGCAGTGGCAGCGTCGGCGGTAGAGGTGCAGGAGCTAGCGGCACCAGTGACAGCAGGAGCAGTGGCCAAATAAATCACACAGACTGCATCGACCCTGATGGCGGCAGAGGTGACGGAGGGATGGCTGCTGGTGGGGCAAGCGAGGGGACGGCAGCCCGGCGGCCCCTCGACTTGGGGCGTGCGGCTGGGCATCCTGCAGGCAGCTTGCGGCTGGCGCGGCCTTCTCATGGCAGGATTGTGCAGTGGCTGGCGTACGTCGACTACAAAGCGGCCTGCGGGGACGGGGCCGTCGTCGGCGACGGGGTGACGCCGCTGGTGACCGCCCAGCTGCCCGGGGCGGAGAACGTCGTCATACCCGGCGCATGGTGGGCGTTGATGACGGGGATGCATGGGACAACCCTTTTGAAATGGCAGCAGTCCCGCCGCACCCCTGGCCGCGGCGGCTTGCGATGAAGATATTAGGGGTTGTTGTTACAGGCTGAGCTGGTGGCTGCTGCGCCTCTCCTCTAGGTGACGTCTGCCCCCAAGAGGAGAGGCGCAGCAGCCACCTGCTCAGCCTGGAATGACTCTCCGGCAGGGCCGCGGCCTGCAGGCCAAGACCGTGCCTTCCCTGCGTGCTCACCCCTAAGCTGCTTGCAATTCCTGGGCCCTGATCCCGTCCGCACCGCACCGCCCGCACCGCCTGCACCGCCCGAACCTGGATTTGAGTGCAGGCACGCCCCGCAGACGCGTCCGGGCCCGGGGGCTCTGTGGTACGGCGACCCTGGAATGGTCGAGCGCTGGTGGCATTATTTGCAGGCGCAGACACGAGAGAGCATCTGAGGGTGCAGGCGCGGCAGCCTCTGATGCGGCGCTCACGTGAGCGGGCCTGTTGTGTTCATTGATGTCGCGCCAGCACAGGCTGCTGGTTGGCTCGGTGCTGATGCCGCCGCACAGATTGCTGGGATGCCAGGTACCCAAAACTTTTCTGTAATCTTATGGGCTTGTCAACCGTCAGAACGTCACAGACTGCACAACACCTTGTAGGCAGCTCGAGGACTTTCCCAGTTTGAGGCAATCAATCTTTTGCCCTGGTACAGCCACTGGGCGTGTGGTGTCTTCTTGTGATGGTCCTCGCAGCTGCAACATGTTGAGCATCTCAAATTTTTCATGCGATAAAGTACGCAAGCAAATGGTGCTCAAAGGGAGAGAGCCGAGCAACTCATTGCTGACGCCGCCTTGCGCGGAGGTAACGGCGCCCCCGCTCCTGCAGGGACCAGCTTTCACCGCTGATCTGTGACAGTTGGCCGCCTGGCACGATCGCAAGCATGGCGCTCCCATATTGTATGGCCCAAGGTCGTTTGGGTACAGAGAACGCACTACCGCTATTCACGCCACGCCGTGGCCGCGCGCGGCAGCAGCAGCATTTGCTGGGGCGGCCCTTGCGACGCATCGCCGCCACTGGCATGCCTGCCAACAACACCAGCGACGAGCCTCTGCCACTGGCCAAAGGCTGGCGCAGCGCACGCAATCGGCTGATCGTAGCGTATGGTACGTTTGCGGCGGCGTCAGGCCACCGCGGGGCCACAAGCGGGCTGTGGAACAGCAGTGTCGCAGCTCCAAAATCACTCGCAGATCTGCCTGCATCTTGATGCATGACCCCGCATCCCTGCTTGATATTTGCGCCCTCTGCTGGCCGCGGCGCCCGCCACCCAGAACGCAGCGCTGTGGTGGACGCTGACGGCTTTGAGGAGTGGTTTGGGCAGCCGAAGCTGTCGGACTGCCAGATCGACATCGTCATCGGGGGCATGGACGAGCAGGGGGGCCTCGTCCCGGAGCAGCAGCAGCAAATGCAGCAGCAGCGGCAGCGGCGGCGGCGGCGGCAGGAGGAGGAGGAGCAGCAGCAGGAGCAGCAGCAGGAGCAGCAGGAGCAGCACGAGCAGCAGGAGCAGCAGGAGCACCACCCGTCGCGGCGCGTCGCTCACAGCGTCCCTGCCCACGCGCTGCTGCTGCAGCAGGCCAGCGGCTGGGCGCGGCGCGCCCTCGACGCCCCGGCGCCTGCGGCCTCGCGCCGACCCGCAAACAACGCCGCCGCGACCGGCGGCGCTGCTGCGTCCCGGGTGCTGGAGTTGGGGGTTGGGGACGAGGCGGAGGCGGCGACGGCGCTGCTGATGCTCAGATCCATCTACTCTACCGGCGACCCCGCGCGCCCATTGGCGGGGGAGGGCTTCCACGCGCTGCTGGCGGTGCGTGCGTTGGGCGTGCATGGTTGGCGAGGGTGTGGCCTCCGAAAGGCAAACATTCTTGTCCTTGTTGGCTTAAAGTGCCTTGATCCGAGCAAACCCATTCACACGTGC